GACAGGAGTCGATGAGGTGTTCTAAGATAGAACTTCGCATACATTTCCTTTCTCCCTTGTAAAACCAAGCTGGAATATGTTCTCGTATCCGTGTGGAGAGCATTCTCTGACTACGGCCAATGTACCTTGCTCCACAAGAGCAGGTGAACTGGTAGATGCACATGGAGGCGGTCAGACGGGGGAGCTTATCTTTTACAGAGGTAGAGAACAATTTGCGGCTCGTGAACGTCATATGTAATCTAGCTGCAGGGAACGTTTTACTAACTGATTTAGAAAGACGATTTCTGAGCATATCTGAAGCTTGATCTCCTTTGAATTCCAAGTTCAAGAATAAGGTTTTCTTCGGAACTGAGTCGGTGACCAGTTTAGGCTGCTTATCTTTCATGTTTCTGTCAATAAATCGGTTAGGGTAACCGTTTTCTGCGAGTGTGGCTTTCAGGAAGTCAAGTTCTGAGTCGACGCAATCAGAACTACAAATTTTCCTTATCCTAAAGCAGAGTGAATGGATTAAATTCCTTTTCCTGGAAATAGGCACCCAACTGTAAAAATTAGTTAGTTGTCCGTTCCATGTACGTTTTCGAAGGATAGATCTTTTGAGAGATCCGTCATTACGTCTGCTGAGGCACACATCAAGAAACGGAATACTTAGTTCAGATTCCTTTTCTATGGTGAATTGTAAAGAAGAATGGCAGTTGTTGAAGACGAACAAGACATCATCAAGAACTACGTTCTTATCGCAGATGACGAAAATGTCGTCTACGTATCTTTTATAAATGTCAAAATGCCCGATGGTTTGACTAAGTTGAGAATTTTCCAGCTTTGCCATAAAACAATCAGCCAACAAAGGACCCAGTGGTGATCCCATGGCACATTGTTAAGGAGACAGGTTCATCAAAGTGAAATGGTCACAGACTAAGAGAGCATCAGAAAGAGAGACCACCATACACATATATATATGGATACATATCAGTTTATCACTATCTAATATCTATAACTGTATATATTGTTGGATTTACAAGTTCAAGTTGGCTCAATTCAGTGAGTCTATGATTTTGGTATCATTTTGGTTAACTGTGACATTTTTATTGTTGTTGTCGTTTGTTGCCCTTTTTGCTGTGAATTATTTTCCTTTCGCTGATGTTGTTCTGATCGTTTAATTCCTTGTGTTTCGGTTTTAAGGGGAGCAACCCACAAAATCACTTGTTTCTAAACTATATCTTAATGTAACAATTCCCTTCTCAGGCGCGAGACTAGCTACCCCACCCTGTAAACAAAGTTGCTACGGAAACTTCAGTCCGATGAATCTCCTTGCGCCAAAACCAAAAGTCTGTGTGGGGACATAGAACGTCCCCACTATGTACGAGATAGGCAAAGCTGCCCAGATCGCAAACGAAAGCATGTTGATAGTAAACAGATGAATCGGAGGAGAATGAATGCGTTAGGTTGTTCCAATATCAGTCACTTCGTCATTTCGCAGACAACCCAGAAACGAATACGAATGAGTAAAATGCGAGACAAACGAGTAACTTGATAAGTCTCTGAGTGTACAAATATCTTCCGTAGACGGCTTAGTTATGGGAGGTGATTTCGCGATGAAATATCTCATGAAAATTAGGGAATAAACAATAAGGTGCTAGCACCAGACAAGCTCGGAGATGTATTGAGTCTGGAATAACATGATTGTACAGCTTTCTGTTTGAGGTCGAAAATGGGAACATTATACACAACTTTTGTTTAAAACGATTCATTGAATAATATACTTAACTTCGGAGTGGAAACTAAAATACAGTGTGCTGCTTGACGATTCGTCTTCTCACTGGTCCATACTGTCTACTTGCTTCACTACTAACCGTGTTGTATTCTTTGGATTTTGCAGGAACCTCTCGTCCGAAGACTATTCTACAACCGGTGAACAGCTTCTACTAGTAGACACGAATCCAACTTTGAACACTATTATACATTATATTAATAATTTGTAGCAGCGAATTTTAACTGTATCACCAAGTAATCAATAATTTTTTTTTATAACTCGTTGGCAGTATTTTTATAATACAATATTACACTATAATTTCAATAACTTGGATTTATATTCGAAAATTCTCTATGTTACCGATCACGCTATAACTCACCTAGATATTGATACAGTGTGATGAGGGTGTGAGAACCCAAGATACAAGAAGAACGGATAGTATGGAGAAGGTTGGAGAAACTTCACTCGAAACTATTTAACGCCGGATGAGTTCGGCGTACACTTGTAAGAAGAATATCTACGTTGCAGGTTGATGACGCTTTCTCCACAAACACCACAATGATCTGTCATTGCACCATTACTTCATGAGATGGATGAGACTGTTTCGTTTCTCCAGTGGAGTGAAATCCCCACCTACGTGTCCTCTTACAAAGGCGATAAGCGTGACAATTTTGAACTGCTTCATCGAGCTGTATATCCTCTTAGAATGTTCCATCCACCTTTGTCAACTCATGAGTAGTATCGGATTTCTGGCAGCTTGTTTTAGAGAGCTGTTACTGAGATGTACAATTATTGTACAATTCACATTCAATGATGTTTTACAGAAAACAAGATATGATCGAAATTGGATCTCCACTCGACCCATTGATAGCAGACTGCTTCATTGCATACCTCCAGAATGGCCCTCCCGAATCCACTATCGACAATTTTCAATTGTATGCTAGATTAGTGGACGACATCTTTATTGTCTGTGATGATGGTCACGGTCTCATTCAGTTTCTACAAATGTTCAACAACTCCCATTCAGCTACAAAGTTTTACTCATGAAATAGAAAACGGACTATTACTGAGATGTACGCTTAATGTACAATTCACATTCGACGATATTATTTACAGACAAAAGGATGAGGTCGCAATGAGATCTCCACTGGGCCCATTGCTGACCTACTCAGTGATGTCCCCAGGAGGAGAATTTCCACTTCTTCAAGAAGAACTTTCTTCGCAGCATCGCTGAGAGTAGTGTTATCCAGTCGATCGCTGATCTGCAGAGGCCCGATGGACCAGATCTGGCACCTGACCACTTCTACGAGCATATATCAGTTCACCTGTTGCTGTGGAGCAAGGTACATGGGTTAATCGATACGCAACACGTGAAAAGCGGTCAAAGAACACGATCCATCGTGGCTGGAGAAAGGAAGTAGTGATCGTATAACGAGTGAAATAATCGAACATCTCGTCAACACTGGTCATTCCATCTCAACAAACGCCTCCTTCAAAGCAACCTACAAAGTGAAGAACAACCTGCGAAAGACAATACGTTACCGTCTCCCTGCATTGCAGTAACCCTAGTCGCTCAGTTAGAAGAACAAGAACTATGCATACAAAAGAAAATTATTCAGTCACTTCTACTGTCACGATAACAACTCTGATGATTTCAAAATTCTTACGTAATTCCGTACTCTAATTTATTTCATTTCCACGTACACACTGAGCACAACACATTCATCAAACTATTCATGTTATTACGTACGTAACTCTTCTTTAACAATCATTTGTGACAACCAGTCACTTTTCTTACTGCCATCTAACGTAAGCACACAATCCTTCTGAACACAGATCGTAATGCATATCTCAACCAAGAGCTTACTAACTCTATTTTCAGTGTACACACATATCCAAAACAACCATATACGTTTGCGATTGTACAGCTGTGAAAATGGATTCCCCAAAACGAGACTCTTCGCTAAACCACTGCTATTCTGTTTATTAACTATAGGAGTATCCCAAGCTTATACTGTCTCCTCCCAGTGGCATAACACCTACAACTGTTCATACCATCTGCAGTCTATGGCCTATCGAATACCATCTGCAGTCTATCGAATTCACTGTTACAATGCACACATTAGGAATGCACTATCGAGAATCAATAACACACATAGTCACTACATTAGCCTAATGTATTCAAAGGTCAATGGACATGATCACACAACCAACTGCTCACATCGTCATCTCTAGTTTGTGTCGAAAATACGATCCAACTTTGAAAGCCGAATATTAAGATTACCCTACTAGGAAATGACAACACAAAGTCTATTATACGCTGACTGACTGCCTCACTCACTCACTCACTCACTCATACACTCTGTCACTCCATCACCAACGCGCGTCACTATTTCCAAGGGAGAATGGAACAAACAAAACACGATGGGATAAATATGTATTTGAGATGAAACAGTCACAGTCGACAAACACGTGAAATAGTCATCAGAGACGTCGACACTTTACCTGATGAAAAGTTAGCTCTGTGAGTTAGCTCGCCAAGTAATATTTGAGGATCGATTTTTGAATCTTCTCGCCAACACCATATTCCTTCCAACAGGCTATCATCTCCTCACCGTTCGGTGGAAATTGGTCCGGAATGCAGCCGTCTTCTCTCAGAACCTCTCTCAAATTGTACCCACTCGGCATATATATCTCATCGTGAATGTCACGCAGAATATCCTCCCAACGATCACTGTAATCCAAGTAGTATTTACCACACCACTGTGGATAAAGCAATAGTTCGCTTTCCGGCTCGAAGACTCTCAGATATGTGATGAGTCGACCGAACAGATTTTTCGATGTGTCAATAATTGTCGTCCTTGGTGAACCGGTCAAATAACCACCATGTATGTGGTAGTGGAATGGATCACTAATTATTCGACAGTACTGCTTTCGTAATTCAATCAGTTCATGAAATTTCTTGAAGAAGGGGATGCACACCGATCGGACCATCCTATCAGAAATCATGTAGGCAATCCGCGTATCTGTGAAGCCAGCGGGTACATCAAAGAAATGTTTCCTGATATCGAGTTTTCTGAGAGACTGCTTGTAACCAATCCGCTTGACAGGTCTGATCGGATGCAGAAGTTGTCGGTGTTTCGTAGCCTTACGGAAAACGATCAGTTTCGAGACCCAACGACCGGTGATCAACATCGCCTTCATCTTATCGGATTCATCTTTCACACCATACTTTTCCATCACACCACTCTCAAGTATTCTCGACGCATAGTTGTCCTTCATGAATCCGGTCGGTATGTAGCGATTCTCCTGAAAATAATTGACTACGGCGGCGATCATCACTGAGGCACATGCATTCGCCATCTCGGAGTTCAAGACATCCTTCATCTCCGAAGTACTTGCCACATTGTCCACCGTCCATCTGCCATAACACCAATGACCATCCTGACGATTATCTAAGCATGAGTCCGCAATTGACATATTTTCAGTTGTTGCTTCTTCAGGAGAGCGTGAGTCTTCACCTTGACCTGCTTCTGTCGACGTGGTCAACTCTCCAAGGAGTCCGTGGAGGATCGCAGAACTCGCCGAATTGCTTAGCCATACGCGTAGCGGTTGTGATACTCTCTCACCGACAGACTTGTACACATAAGCAGCAGCTGTCTCAGCAAACGTCTCCCATGATTTCTTATCACCACGCGGAGAAGTAGTATCGAATCTGGGCATATCCATCTTGTCGAGAACCAACAGAAATTCATCATCTGTGACATCGCCATTAGAATCGGACTCTGGCCAGTCGACATTGACACAGCCCTTCACTTTGTCAGTCACTTCATCCACCGATGTTTCGACTTCGGCTTCACTATTTCCACTGGAATCCTGAAACAGGGAAAAGCATCAGTGTATTTCATAGACATGAATGAGACAATCTGCATTTATCAGAAAAGGGAAACTGGGGTCTGTCTGGCTGTGAACACAAAGTGAAAGCTAACATTCTAGTTACCCATCGGCCACGTTGACATTCATTCCTGTGTCCTGAGAGTCTTCCATTCGATCACGGAAGTTCACTACCAAAGCCCCTTCACATTAATACTCCACAGCTATACTCATCTGATCTAAAGTTGTTTTGAATTGTAACAATGGTCCCGGAAGCTATTCACTTTCCCCTGAATTTCTCCTTACCATGAATCAGGGTCTTTGCCAAACATGACAAACATATGGCAACAAGATGGTCAGCGAACAGTCTTGTTTCGACGATTAGACCAGCAGGATGAAGAGTGTAATGACTTCATGACCTATGGAAGATACACAAAGCCGAATTGCCACTTCAGACGGCTACGGAAATATATGGACGCTTCACTAATTCAATAGCTCATTTATCAGCTGGCACCCTGAAAACTCCTAGAAGACATCTGTCCATCTACTTCGCCCTTACTACCTTCAATTTCATCTATTTTATGCAAAACATCCATGCCTCCAATAAGCAGATGATATGTCATCACGTCGACTCCCTCATGACCAACCTTCCACTACCAGAAAGCATTTGTCTTATTCGTAAATGGGTAGACGACTCCATGGTGTATATTGAAATGCGAACTGCATACCTAAACCTACTATTACTGAGATGCACATTGAATGTATAATTTCCATTCAGCGGAGCAATCTATCGAAAATAGATGACTTACCTATGGAATCTCTTTTGCATCCACTTCACACAGCCTGTTGTATGGTCAGTTCAGGAAACAGTCAACTGAGCTCAACATCTCACAACTTTCATTTGTGTGAAAGCGAAATTCTCAGTCGAATTCTGCTTACTCGATAAGCAAAAATCTCCTAATTACACACGCTCTCTCTCTCTCTGTCTCTCTACGTAACTGTATCATTTTTTTTAATATCTCCACTCCATTTCCACACCATTGTGTGATTATACGCCAGTGTATGCACAACAATGGACGAACTCATCTTCCAGAGTATGTAACTCAGTGGCGTCGACCATTCGATATCTGGCTTAACCTCACTCTTCTGACAATCCAACTGATGCTTATCTGTCCACTTCAGTGGAACCACACAAGTGGATGGGACAGTGTGGAAATATTGAAGATTAATACAGCTATGTTGAGAGAAGGAGAGGATGGGCGACAGACAGGGTCAGAGACAGAGAGAGGTTAACTACGGAATCTTTCTTCATACAGTCAACAACGACAACAAAGACAGCTGTGATAGATGAATTCACAGACGCGAAATGTTTGCCTCAATCGCGAGATTTCCTTTTCTACACACTATCAACGACAGTTCAGAAATAGAGACCAGGTAATGTGATACTCTGGAGTCAATTGATGAACGATTCTTATATCATCAATTGAAGCATGACTTGATATCTGTGTCTGTGGAGTTTCGAATAACCTCCCTGACAAGAAATACATTTCACTTCGTCATTCCAGTTGACTCAGTACAAAATCACACTGATAAGTACACTCACCTCGTCTCTTGATTCACTGTCCATTCTTAGGTAACTTTACGCTCCCATACAGAAATCGTATTTAAATATCAAATAAACGGTGTACTGTTGTTTAATCGATGTCTCAAAGTAACAAAGTCTGTCGTCTATATGATTGGATGGGTTTGCTAACCAATCAATGTAGAGTGAATTTCACATGCATGCATATACACTGAATTGTGTTCATTGAAACCTGTGGTGAGACCTAGCTCGATCAATGAAGTATGTTATTTGTCTATCTCACCTGAGACACTTGAAGGTCGTCAGTTCAATTTCACACTGGAAATGAATTGTTCATCTCAAAATTAGCATACTATCAGAACAAAAATTGGGTTAAATACCATAAATGGTAACACATATGTGTCATGAATTAAATATAGCGAATTTCGGTATTATTTCGCTAATGTAAATATTATTATTGCTATTCTAACTCTGAAATGTTTTCACTTGTCTCACTTGTCATTCTAAACCCAAAATTATTAATTTTTATTTTTACAATATTGAATTCTATCTTATCAAATTTCACACCATGTTATGTCGCACTTTATATTCGTCTACTAATCCTATACTTATGCACCCCTTTCCAACATATATACACCTTATGTATTATTCTATATATGACACGCATTGTTTTGCTACTTTACATTTAACTATGATTAGAATAACAAATATTTTATTTGCACTTCATACCACTATTATTATGTTATATATTCACATATTGGACCTAATTCCCTCACATCATATAATTTCTTAAAAACCAGATATATACGTCTGTATATATATATATATATATACGTCTGTAAATCTTGAAAATAAATTCGTTGAAAATAGTCTCTTCGCTGAATATTGCAAATATGACACCCCCGTCAGCTGAGGCAGTTGAAAGTCTTAAATCAACTCTAGTCGACTGTTGTTATAAATATATAAATACTAAACGGAAATTAAGTATCTGATTGACCAAGAAATACAGGTAAGCCGTAGATAAGCTGCGAAATATTGAGAATATAAGAATTTCGAAACCTGATAAAGGCTCTGGAGTAGTAATAATGCATAAAACTGAATACATAGATAAGATGAATGGAATACTTAGTAATCATCGAAAATTTCGAAAAATTACATCTTCCATAGATCCGACAGAAAAAATGGAGAAACAACTAACTGAGTCACTAAAAAGACTTAAACAACAAACTAGCATCATAGACGGTTTATATGAATCTGTAAAGCCTTCTGGTACGGTTACACCAAGATTATATGGACTACCAAAAGTGCATAAAATCGGTTTGCCACTTCGACCAGAGTTGGACATGTGTAATTCCTCATATCACGCAACAGTAAAATGGCTAGTGAAGCTCCTGAAGCCTCTGCATAATGAAGTGGTAAAACAGCGTAAACGGCAGCTTTGAATTTGTTGGAAAAATAAGAGATCTTAATTTGAGGGACAAGTTTATGGTATCTTTTGATGTATCTTCCTTGTTCACCAATGTACCGTTAACGGAGACAGTGGATTTTATATGTGAGGAGATTACTACACGAAACATAGATATCGGGATTTCTGTATCCACCTTGAAGGAACTTCTTTTAAGATGCACAATGAATGTTCATTTCTTACTCATTAAGGAATATTACAGACAAATTGATGGTGTAGCTATGGGTTTCCCATTAGGTCCAATCCTACGTGATTTTTTCCTCGCTAAATTAGAGAATGAACCACTGAAAGGAGTAATTAATGACATGGGTTCCTACTGTCCATATATGGATGATTCATTTGTGGTTATGTAAGATGTGAATGATGCAATGAACATCCTTGACAAGTTTAATGATGCACATTCAACAATAAACTTTACCATAGTAAAAGAAAGAAATGACAGTATCTCATTCCTAGACGTTTTCATGGTAAGGAGAGAAGATGGCAGACTAAGAAGAAGTGTGTATAAGAAACCTACAACAACAGGTCAATACACTCATTTTTTGAGTTTTGTACCTTTGAAATATAAAGGCGTAACCTGTTAAAGTGTCTGGATCATAGAGCTAGGTTTACCTGTTCAGACGACTGCCTCAATGAGGAGCTTAAGATTATTAGAGAATTACTTAGAAAAAATGGTTATCCAGATAAATTTGTTGAGAAAAATATGAATTCAGCACCGAAGAGAGTCAGTATGGCGACAGCTCCGATAAAAAACAGCGTTCATAAAACTGCAGTTCCTCGGTGACAACATCAGCGAAATAATAACACAGCGCCTGAAGAATGCATTTAAAAGAGCTTATTATGCAGCAGAGGTACGTTGTCTCTTCACAACCATCCTTATTCTACGTTCGAGAAATAAGGATAAACTACCTAAATTCGCCTCCTCTATGTGTATCTACCAGTTTGACTGCAGCTGAGGAGCCAGCTACATTGGGCATACAATTAGGAAGGTTCATCATCGTATTTCCGAACATCATCCAACATGGTTCAGCAAGGGACAAACAAGATCTATTCTTAGCTCTATTTTAGCACACCTTGTGAGCATAAGGTTAATAGTAATACAGCATTTAAAATTATCTATCACATTCTACATACAGATGAAGAAACCAAACCTGTATGTTTAGAAAAAATTTGTACAGTCACTTTCCTTGCCTTGGCCATCGCTACATGAATGTATAAACCGGACTACTTCGCCCCCCTCCACCTAAAACTTTAGAATTATAAAAATTGTAATTGTCCAAATTATTTCAGTTTTATTTATTTTGACCACCTCATCATTTCTAATTACGTGTTACCCTTGTAAAATTAATTTATTCTATTTGTTTTTTATTTTTTATTTTTGATTACAGCTTGATTCCACACTGTATTTTTGGTACTAGTATGGAATTTTCAGCATGGATATCGGCAGCCCAAATTTCGCAGCCCGATCATAGATATCAGGTGTGCGTCGGCAGGAGATCGAACCTCGGACCGTGTGCGTCGTTGACGAGAGTCCTAACCACTGTGCCACCGATGCACCATTTCTACCTTTTAAATGTGTATTGATTTTCTTCGTTAATTATCAACCCAATGACATTTTGACACTGTTTAATCATTGTTAACAAAATTATCGCCACTTGGTATTCAAGTATTGGTTTGTAGGGATTTGGTTGATTGGTTACAGGATTTCATCACGACCTGACATCAGTTAGAGAACCATTGGAAAACCTGGGAGTACTGGACAGCTGATTGGCAAACTGATGTGTATTATAATAAAAGTGCTACATATATTAGAGTAGAGCCAGAGATGAAGATCTAATTGAAAAATAAATATTTCTTCTCTCAATCTTTCTGTTTACAAGAATTTAAATTAAATTGAAGGTGTGGGGAGGGTGAGAACTCATACCCCACAGATAAAAAAGGATACCTTTCATAAGTGAAATGTAAATTTCTTCGATTGCTGAACACTGTTTACGAGTTCATATATTAAAACCTTGGGAATCCAAATGAAACAAGGGGTGGCAGATTGTGTTGACTCACAGATGAAAACATATACTTGCTGTAAGGAAAGTGTTAACAGTTTTGACTACAGTTCACCTGTCATCCCTTTTCATACTTAAAAAAATTATGTTTGCCTACAAGTATACAAGCGGTACTCCTTACATACACAGACCATTCTTACAGGATTTATAAATCATGCAGGTGAGTTAGATTTTCGGTGTATACTATTTGTCCATTGCTTTAAAGGGAAAATAGCTCGGATAATGTGTTAGATACGGGTATTCAACATTCTGCAACAAGTCGTAAGAGAAGAATATCTTCTGACAGACTGGATGAATGCCTTGGGTACAGCTACTCACATTTTACCGCCGTCAATAACGGTTACGTGATGCAGCATTTAGGGACTGGGACTTCTGGAAACCTTACTGCGCATCTATAGAAGAGGTGGCAGTGGATAAAACTGTACCTTTGCCTTCAAATTCCACTATTTCAGGAACAGTGGATATATCTAGTACTAGTGAGACCGTGGCTGTCGTTTCACAAATTGAGGAGAACTGTAACAAGAATTATTATGTAATAAATAATTTTAACAGAACTTCAGATTGCTCCTGAAAAGATGACACACGAAGAGCTGGTGAGAAAGACAATGATGGAATTGTACCTTAGGACCAATTGGTCCATTAATGTGACAGGGAGTGTTGCGCAAAATATTTTGGACTGTGATATGTATCCATATATATATATATATATATATATATATATATATATATATATATATATATATATGCTCTCTTAGTCTGTGACCATTTCACTTTGATGAACCTGTCTCCTTTAACAATGTATATTCCCCTTATATTATATATTATATGTGTGGTTGTTGACATGTCTGCTATATTTTGCTATGTATATATGGATCGATACTTCATTATAATTAGCCATTCATGTTAAAACTGTCTATTGATTTGTTCACACACTTGGTTGGACATTCATATATATTTCGCTCTCACAATCTTGTGTGACACTTTCTTTGGTGTGATACCACTTATTGCTTCTCCTTGTGTTTGGAAAATAGAAGTATCATCGCAAACCTAGTGGTCTTCTGATTTCCGCCTCCTTGCGTCAGGACTATTAAATTCTCGACCAGTACATAGCAATAATTTGGCGACGAGTACATAACAGACTGTATGCGTAAATTTAATCGACATGTGCCAACAACCATAAGAAATTTGCTAAAAGACAGCGGCATGTGTGTACCTAGATTTCTTGGACAAGGTGTTTACTATCACATTGGACTGAACGAAAATCTGCAGCGTTATCCTGATATTTAATTGGTGGATGGTGATTAGCAGTGGAATCCAGCCAGGATGCGCATTTCGTCCTATTTGGGACTCGTAGTCAGCTGGATGTACCTGCATTCCCCAGTTAGTGAGTGATGATGTTCCCACTGAGGCTCGAACCCAGTGCCCATAGTTTCAAACGCCAAAGCGTTATCCACTAGACCACTTGGGCCACGAGAGCCACCTCTTGTGCAACGGGTCATATTAATTATTGAATTGAATTT